TTCCCCTGCTTCTCTTGAAATTGTTCAGATGGTACAACTAAGCAAGAACCTCCAAAATTATCTCAATAACCTCCAAGTGTTTGTGCTGCCTCCTGTTTCGTTATAACTGTTGTCATGCATTTGGGAGCTTACTTATTATAGCCCTATGTGCCAAAATATCTTAAAACAGTTTTGTTTTTTAAAAAAGGAATTTCACTTCAGGTCAAACTCTGCAGCAACTTGGAGATGTTGTGGCGTCCACCCCCTCCCCTCCTCCGGGAGATGTTGTTGCTGGGATGTTTCGCCCAAGCAGAAACTGAATGAATTGCATTCACACAGGTTCTATGGGACTCAGACAAGAAAGTAATTGGACTTTCATGGATGCTGGATGCGTTGACCTAAATGGCAAGAACCGTATAGGTTATTCCACCAACCGCTGCCTGTGCAGTCCTCAAGTGCTCTCAGAGAGGTAGTTGAAAAGTCTTCAAATGTCCCCTGCCACATGTATATCCAAAACGTGGGGCAGGGATAGGAGACCTTTTTAATTCTGAGGGACACATCCTATTCTGAGCAACCTTCAGGAGGCCACTTGCCAGTGGTGGGCAGAGCCACAAGCACAAGTGGGTGCAACAACTGATGTAAATTTTACCTGTATACAGTAGTGTAACTTCTACATACTTTATCCTCCATCCAGACAAGCAAGAGGCAATCTCAGATATTAAGGACATGGCCAGTGCTTCTCTTGTTCTCGTATGATGACACCCACCTGAGAGATGCTAGAAGTGGGTTCTGGTGAGTTCCAGCGAGTCCCAGCTGTATAGAAGGCCTGGACACAGCCCAACCAGACAAAAATGCGAATCAGATTCATGGGTAAGTGTAGGAAGGGCAGAGTTCTGAGAGACAGATAGAGAGGTTTGAAGGGACACATTTGGCCTCTGTGCTTGAGGTTCCTCACCCATGATGGAGGTGGAAGAGTGTGTCTCTGCCTCCTGCTCATGCTCATAATAACTCATGCCCCATTGGCCCTGCATTTGGCGCCCACACATTCAGCATTGAGAATTATGAATTCTGGTAGGCTCCCTGCTCAAATGTGGCAATGTACTGTCACCCCCAAGTAGGGGCTCCACACTAGTGACACACTAGGACCTATGAAGAAGTGGATCCCAAACAAATGAAGAGTATGGAGAACACCAAATCAGTACCCAAGCCTTCAGGATGCACATAAATGGATAATAGAATTCTCTGACTGATTGCTAGCATCGGCAATCTACACGCAAGGCTGGAAAACATGGTCATTTGAATTACTCACATTGGCAAGCAATTCGCTGTCCTTTCTCCCGGCCAAATTGCAAGTGTAACTGGAATGGTTGAGACAAGGAAGTGGCACATTCCTGATGCCACTCCACAAACCCATTAAAACAGAAGCTCGCTCCAAAATCCTGAGACCTGGTGGGCAAGATTTATTTATTGTTTAATCTGGCTGAGAGATTCTTATGTCACCTAGAACTCATCTTTTGGCCGTGTTTCTGATTCTTGTGCTATAGAATCCTTTCCAAAATGCTAGCAAAGCCAGCCTGTCTTTTGGCAGGTCTCCGTCCACTGGTCTGTATTATTGCATGCATTTAGAGCTGAATTATGCCAACCGCATAGCTATGTGCATGGTCCATTGAGCAAAAATGGGGAGGAAATGAATGTAGTCCATATTCCAATAATATGCTTAGCTTGATTCATGTCTTGTGGCCACTGCACAATGTCTGATGGGCTGGCTGTCATTTCTTGTAGCACAGCTTTTAATAGCTATCCTGCAACCATCATTCATCCTGATGTTTCCATGTACAAAGCTAAAATAGCTCAATAAGGACTGGACTCAGATTTATGCCAAAGCTCTGAATTGGGGAGGGGGTCATTTTTTCTAGAAAATAAGGGAACAGATGAACACCCTTCTGTACTTTTGAAGGGGAAGGGCATTTCTGGAGGCTGGTTTATTGGGACTTTTTGATGATGATGATGATGATGATGATGATGATGTGGAGTACTGAATTTAAGATAGGAAAAATGAAAAACATTGACAGATTTGCACATCTCCATCTATGTGACGGACAGAATCCAGATACGTTTGACTTCCACCTCAGTTTACCGCTTCATTCTGAACAGCTCTGCAGATTCCATCCCTTACTGATTTCATTGCATGGTGCTCGAGAGAAGAATCACACAGCAGAGGAATATATTGTGGTTTACTTTGGGTAGTTTGTTTGAGTTAATGGCTTGTCCCACGAGGAGTTCCAGTTCCAAGCTATGGAATAGGAGAGAGCCCTGACAAGCTCATGAACTGAACAATTTGACCTTTGAGCAGCTGCTACAAATGACCATGTATTGTGTTCAAAAAGAAAACATTTTGATTTATTGACTTACTGTTTGCTTGAAATACAAAACTGCCACGGTGCTGGGGGAGACTTTCATCTCAGGAGGTAGAGAATATTTGGAAAGTGACTGTAGTACTTCTCTATAAGGAATGGGGTGTGTGAGAGAGATTCAGTTTGTTCCTAAGGGCAAATCTAGATAATTCACACTTCTCAAAGCAGTATGTGAACAAAAACACAGCCGTCCTTCAAAATTCGCACTTCTCTGAATTTTGCAATGCATTTCTCCAACCAAATGATATGTGCAAAAATGCATATACTACCAATCCCTCTGTAAGTGAAAATATCATACAAAATGCATTATATTCAGGGAGATTGCTTTTCAAAAATATGCATATTAAGCCAAATTCCATACCAATATGTCTATATCAGGAGAAATTCATGATGAATTTACATGAGAACTTTTTAGGAAATCACAAACTGATATAGAAATGTTGAGAACTGAACTTAAGCTTGGAGAAAAAGACAAAGAAAAACAGTGAATTTGAAATCTTCACCCAGCCCTGTTCTCCTAACCAGCTTGTTTGTGGAGGAAATGTTTAAAAATGCATAGATGCAATTTTTCAGAGGGTATAGCTGAGTCTGGGAGTGGTGGAGAAAACTTAGAGTACAAATCCAGAATGGAGGAGGAAAATCAAAGTGGGTGGGATTAAAAGGGAATTGGACAAATTCGTTGAGTTAAGTCTATCAACATCTACTGGGCATGATGACCATGATCTCCCTTCACTGTTGTAGGCAGTATATCTCTGAATACTAGTTGCTGGGACTCACACATGAGTACAGACAGGGCCGGCCCATGCATGAGGCAAGGTGAGGTGGCCACCTCAAGCAGCGGGATCCACAGGGGCACCAGATCTTGCCTACAAGGAGTGCTTCACCCACCACTGCTGCTGCAGCTGTAGCAATAACTGTGGTGTGCTCCTTGGAGGCTGGATCTGCCATCTCCTTGGCACTCCACCCCTACAGTGGCCTCTTGGTGAACAGGAGGTACTGCTGGTCTCCACCCCCCCCCCCGTTCCCAATGTAGATCTTCATTCACCCCTTTTACCCTGGCCGGAGGTGGGGAGCATTTTGTGATTTGCCTCTGGTGCCAAAATGTGCCGGGGCTGGCCCTGGGTACAGTGCTGTTGCACTCAGGTCCTGCTTGCAGGCTTCCTGTAGGCATCTTGGTTGGCCATTGTGAGGACAGGAAGCTGAACTGGATAAAGGTTTGAACTGATCCAGCAAGGCTGCTCTAATGTTCTTATGCCAACCCTTATCATACAAATGGGATCATCTTAATTGATGGTCCTGGTTGCGGGCAGGCTCTCAACCTGGTTCCCCCACCCTGGCGTGGGTGTAGCTATCGCACTCACGCTGGGGTGGCACCACAATTACCCAGGGCTATTGCCCAATTATGAATTATGGTGTTGGAGGAGACTCTTGAGAGTGCCATGGACTGCAAGAAGATCAAACCTCTCCATTCTTAAGGAAATCAGCCCTGAGTGCTCACTGGAAGGACAGATCGTGAAGCTGAGGCTCCGATACTTTGGCCACCTCATGAGAAGAGAGGACTCCCTGGAAAAGACCCTGATGTTGGGAAAGACTGAGGGCACAAGGAGAAGGGGACGACAGAGGACGAGATGATTGGACAGTGTTCTCGAAGCTACCAGCATGAGTTTGACCAAACTGCAGGAGGCAGTGGAAGACCGGAGTGCCTGGCGTGCTCTGGTCCATGGGGTCACGAAGAGTCGGACATGACTAAATGACCAAACAACAACAACATTGCTCAATCATGTCAAAGGGTGATAGTGGGGGAAAGTATAAAAGCAACAGCGCGACGTGTTCCAGGCTCCTGCTTCACGCTGCTGAACACCCGCCCACCCTCCCTTTAATTTAGATCCTTTGGCCTTGCTTTGGACTTTGGTTGGTTGCCCGGCTTGAGTTGGGGGCCGGGTAGGAATTTTTCCATTTGGCAAATGGTACGGGCCACTTGGTTTTTGCCTACCTCTTAGCAATCATCACAATTTTGTAAGGTTTGGCGGTTAGACATTGGCTTATAGTCAATGGGGGAGGGGAGATCGGCCATCGCCTGCCCCTCCAGTTTCAAGGGTATTCCGTTAAAGAAATCCGGGGCCTGGTTCCTGTCCGAAGTCCGCTTGAAGGTGAGGGCCATGCCAGGTCTCCGGGAACACCAGGGCAGATGCAGGCGGGTTCCCCCGAAGCAATTTCCCTTTGAGTGGTTTACCCTTACAGATTCCCTGCAAAGGGGGCAGGAGTCAGATATAGTTTTGCTAATGCCTAAGCCAATACCGCTCTCATTCCTGTAATCAATAAAGTTGTGGCCCAAAAACCTTAAACAAAATATCCGTGTCCGTGTGAATTTATTTATCCTAATGGGGCGTCGGCTTGAGGGTCTTGCCACACAACTAGAACCACATGATTGTGTGAGGAGCCTTGAGAGACCCATCTCCAATACTGTCCCCTGCATCAATCCCAGCCACCACAGTCAATGGTCAGGGATGATGGTAAGCTTAGTCCTAAACATTTGGAGGGCATCAGGTAAAAGGAAACTGATTTAGACCTCTTCATCTGAGTATGGTACCATTGATGATGAGGAAGGGTTGTAGCTCAGCAGTAGAGCACCTGCTTTCCATGCAGAAGGCCCCATGTTCAATACTTTTCATCATCATGTAGGTCTGGGAGACAACCCAGACAGGAATCCTAGAGACTGTTGACATGCAGAGGGGCCGGGAAGCCAGCTGGCAAGCCCAGCTCAGATGTCTCCTTCCATCGGCCTGTGTTCCAACATAAATCAGCAACCCGGACTTTAGAAGCCAGGGCACACAATTAGCAGAGTGTACTGCGCACACATAAAGAAGGCTGATCGCCGAAGAATTGATGCTTTTGAATTACGGTCTGGAGGAGACTCTTAAGAGTCCCATGGACTGCAAGAAGATCCAACGTCTACATTCTTAAGGAAATCAGCCCTGAGTGCTCACTGGAAGGACAGATCGTGAAGCTGAGGCTCCAAGACTTTGGCCACCTCATGAGGAGAGAAGACTCCCTGGAAAAGACCCTGATGTTGGGAAAGATGGAGGGCACAAGGAGAAAGGGACGACGGAGGACGAGATGGTTGGATAGTGTTCTCGAAGCTACCAGCATGAGTTTGACCAAACTGCGGGAGGCAGTGGAAGACAAGTGCCTGGCATGCTCTGGTCCAGGGGGTCATGAAGAGTCGGACACGACTAAACTACTAAACAACAACAACAACGACACTGCGCACACAGAAGTAGGCGTGAGGTGTATGAAGTCATGCTACAGCTACAGATTTATTAAACATAAATCAGAACAAACAAACATGTTGTCTCTCTCTCATGTCATCTCGGAGAGAACAGCAAAAGCAAAAGCTATACACAAACGGAAGTTCCTAGCATACTGTGCTGGAATGTAAACAGACATGTGACATGCAACAATCTCATGCCTGTTCCTTCAGGTGGAATGGAAATGTCAACAGAGACCCACTGCCAGTCAGTGGAGGAAGTACTGATCAAGATGGACCAATGGTATAAGGCAGATTCTGGTGTTCTTATATAGATCCCCTCTCAGTGGCAGATCTGATATATATACCTTAATCAAAAGTTCTGGCAACATCTGAGCCAGATTTCCACTGAAGGCTTTCACCGAAGTCATCGCTGGCAGCTGTGGCAAGCATCCAATGTGCACAAAACCTTCCTTGGGAGCAAGGGGAATGCTCAGTGTGTGAAATCCCATTGTGTGCAATAAACACTCTGCAGAACGCAAGGTTGGGCATACACACTGGAGAGCTGCGGAAACGGAGTGTGGCTGATGTACCCCTGAGGCTCTATTGTAGATCGTTTTTGGTTGCAACTGAGATCTCCCAGGCTGCGCTTTTCCTGAGCCAGGATGCTAGCAAAACAAAACACAGCCTTTCTGATGATGATAAAGCCACAGAGGGAAATCCTTTTCTTTTCTCCGAGAAAGGTAGCACCACTGTGTATTCAGCCGCTGTTGGACGGCTTGCAAGCTTGCACTGTTCTAGGCATATGCAGGGCTCTCTCTGACAGGTTTGAAATGGAGCTGGTTTTCTCTTTCAGTAGCAGGGGAGAGCAATTGAAATGTACACTGGGATCTGCAATTTTTTATTTTTTATTTAAAAAGGCTGCTGATTTTGACTCAGAGAACACTTGGCTCACCATGTGTGCCTTATTAGCTGCAGGGACATTTTTTTAAAAAATCATGTTATTTCTCCCAAAGTGTAAAAGAATGTTGACAAAATCTAGGCTCCTTGCCTCTTTCCCCTGTTCTGCCCATATCACTACATTCAAATATGTTGGGGGGGGTTTCCAATTACTGGGCCCCAAAATAACACAGCTGTCACTGTTTATGGCTGTATCCTAGAAGGGGGGCATCAGGATTCTGTAGTTCTTTTGGTTGTGCTTGTTATGCCACTACACACACACACACACACACAGTTACCTCGCAGTGAATAGTTGTGTTGGAGAAAACTAAGTGGAATCTCCCTGGACGATCTCCGACTAATTCAACAGCTACTCGTCAACACAGATTCCTAATTATAGCCCACTGAACAGCTCCTTTTGCACAAGGGCTGAAGCAAGAACTGCATAGTTTTCATCTGAACAATGGTGGAAAACGATCACGAAAGCCAATTTGGAAGTCAAAGTTTGTTTTGATTTAGAGAAATAGATTTCACAAGTTAGCCTGGCAAAGTAACTCTGTGTGGCCGTAAATGAACGAAAGTCCATTGTCCAGGTGGAATTTCCCTCCCCAGCTGCAGACTGAGTAAGGACTAAACCCTAACCCTCCACCCATGGTGAGAGTGCTTCATGAAAATTCACTTCCTGCAGCACTCCCTCCCATTCTGGCAATAATTCCGAGGGTATCTGAAAAGGGCTGAAAATGCTCATTCAGAGTGCTGGCAAGAAATAATACCCTCATTCGGATTTGGCTTTTGGGTGTCATTATGTGAGCAAATCTGATTAGGGATAGACTGAGGAACCAAATTCCATTCTGTTTCAGTTTCGCTTGTGCTCAATCATAGGTCCCTTCCTTTCCATTTTGGATGGACATTTTATAAGAAAGCACAGGAAGTCTGCATTTAAACACATTATGTACATAAAAGTTGCATTTTTCAGATACGATTCAAAGCAGCCCCCCCCCTCAAGATATGCATTTTGATATGCATTCCTTTAATGTAACATATATAATTTTGTGTGCATTTCCTGCACACTGAAACTACAATGCAAAATCCAGATAAAAGCATATTCTGTGTTGCATTCAAGTTCAGGAGCAACCAATCAGGTTGGTCCACTGTGAAAAGCAGGCCCAACAAATTCCTCTCCTATCCTAAAGTCTGGTTATGTGATGCTATCACTCTGGCTATATGATCCCTGACAAGCTGGAACCTATCATTAATTGTTGTTTAGTCGTTTAGTCTTGTCCGACTCTTCGTGACCCCATGGACCAGAGCATGCCAGGCACGCCTGTCTTCCACTGCCTCCCGCAGTTTGGTCAAACTCATGTTCGTAGCTTCGAGAACACTGTCCAACCATCTCGTCCTCTGTCGTCTCCTTCTCCTTGTGCCCTCAATCTTTCCCAACATTAGGGTATTTTCCAGGGAGTTTTCTCTTCTCATAATGTGGCCAAAGTATTGGAGCCTCAGCTTCACGATCTGTCCTTCCAGTGAGCACTCAGGGCTGATTTCCTTCAGAATGGATAGGTGTGATTTTCTTGCAGTCCATGGGACTCTCAGGAGTCTCCTCCAGCACCATAATTCAAAAGCATCAATTCTTCAGGGATCAGCCTTCTTTATGGCCCAGCTCTTACTTCCATACATCACTACTGGGAAAACCATAGCTTTAACTATATGGACCTTTGTTGGCAAGGTGATGTCTCTGCTTTTTAAGATGTTGTCTAGGTTTGTCATTGCTTTCCTCCCAAGAAGCAGGCGTCTTATTTATTAAATGCACATAAGCAGCTACTATGAGATACCAGGAATGAAAGAAGGGTACTTTGCAGAAGCATATGATTGTAACTCAATATTTCCTTCACCTACAAAAATCCAGCTCATCCCTAATTTAAAGTGGTGCAGTCGAAAATCAAATTCACCACCAATGCACCTGCCATTTATGAGAATTAGATCTCTGGGACGTGTGGCGCTTACATTAAACAACTTGGAGTTAAATAAAAGCACATCTTTCCTTTTTTTTTACCATACTTTAATGGACATACATATGAGATGATCCAGCCTGCTGAATGGTCAAAAAATGGCATTTACTTCTCCCCCAGGCTCTGAAAGAGGTGTTGATCAGCAAGGACTCCCTGGAGCCAAGCTTTCTCTCTCCATATTTCTGCTCCCTTCCTCACCCTCAGCTCACATGTTCTGCAAGGATTAAAAAGGAAGAAGGGAAATTACAATTTGATGAAAGCTCTCCAGGCCTGAAGAGTGTTTTCTCTTGGCAGCTCCAGACTTTCCTTTTGGTCGTGTTCTGACTGTGCTCATTTTGGCTGTCCTAGCCTTCTTGAATAATCAATCCTCTTTGACTCCCTCCTCCTCCTCAGCTTCCTGTTTGTCCACAAAGATTGTGTACAAGGACTTTCTGATCTCATCTGGTTCCTATTTCAGCTCTTATGCAACACCACTCAAGCCTAGGAGCCTCTCGTGGGTTGAACACCCAGAGGAGTAAAATCATTCCAGAGAAGGAAAGGCCTGGCCGGAATGGCCTAGAACTGGGCTGGTGGTCTAGAAGCAAATTGGGATTGCCAGTTTAAGTTTGTGTGTGCTTTTTAATTGATTTTTTTTTATTATTAAAAAATTGCCATTTTATCAAGGAAAGGAAAAAGAGAAGAGGAAATACAATTTTAAAAGACAGAGAGAGAAGAGGGAAAACACACACAGTCACACAAACACAAAAATGCTTTGCAATTATACCCCACTTTCCCCCCTCATTTAATCCCCACACCAACCCTGTGAGGTTGGGACTGGCCCAAGGTTCAAGTGGGCATTTGAACACAGGTATCCCAGGTCCTAGGGACACGGGTGGCACTGTGGGTTATACCACAGAGCCTAGAAGCAAGGAGTCACAAAGTCAGGGGTCCGAGGACCAAAAAGCAAGGAGTCAAGAAGTCAGGGGTCCGAGGATCAAGAAGCGAGGAGTCAAGGAGCCAAACCCAGCAGGGCAGGGAATGTGTTGCTGTGGCAAAGAGCTGAAGGGAAATGCTGACCTTATATCCCTTCCCGGCTTTTGCCACCAGGTGCTGTGAGTTACCAATCGGCCTCACCTGTGCGGCCACGCCTTGCCTCTTCAGAACAAACTTAGGAAGGCCCCAGTCCTGCAAAGTCCTCTTGGTCACAGGTCCTGGCTCCTGCACACACACCTGACAGTCCACCACCTCCTGGGGGAGTCCGTTCCACCATCAAACAGCTCTTACTGTCAGAAAGTTTTTTCCGTATGTTTCATTGGAATCTCCTTTCTTGTAACTTGAAGCCACTGGTTCGAGTCCTACCCTCCAGAGCAGGAGAAGCTTGTTCCCTCTTCCATGTGACAGCCCTTTGAATATTTGAAGAAGATTATCATATCTCCTCTCAGCTTCCTCTTTTCCAGGCTAAACATACCCAGCTCCTTCAACCATTCCTCATAAGGCTCAGTTTCCAGACCCTTGATCATTTTAGTCACCCTCCTCCGCACACATTCCAGCGTGTCAATATGCTTCTTAAATTGAAGGATAGTTGACTATGAAACCTATGGGTGGCTGGGTGGCAATTGCAGTCTTATTAACCCCCCAAGTGGCCAATTAGGTGGCTAGGATTGCCAGATGAGCCCTCTCTGGCTGGTTGGAAGCAGAACACCAGCCTTGATGTGTCTTTGATGTCACTCAGCAGGTCAGCTCCTACAGTCTCCATGCTCTCCAGCCATCTTGACAGCTCCTTGACGAGCGTGTAATACAAAACAAACACAGGGGCCAGAGTGTTCTCTGGCCTATTAGTGCTATTTTGCCTTTCGTTCCTATTGATATTTAAACAGAAATAGGAAATTCTAGGAAGTCTATAGAACTATCTGCAATCATGTTGGATTGCATGAACACAAAGCTCCTCTGCCAACAAAAGAACAATTGAGTGTTTATTTGCTGCTGACAGAGAATTTAAATAATCAGAGCACATCTCAGGGGAAATGTGTGACTTTCCAGAGTGCTGGCTGCTCGGGCTTCCATTCTTTTAGTCCATTTATGCAATGCAAAGCTGAGAAGGAGAAAAAAAACAACCACACGTGGCAGGGCAGAATCTATGGCCTTCCCGATGTTGCTAGACTCCAACCCCTACCAGTCCTGATCAATAATCTGGGATGATGGGAGTTGTAGTTAAACAACAGGTTCTGCATCCCTGGATAAGACAGATTGCCACTCGTGCCACACCCCATTCCCGCTCTCTGTGTCCCAAGTCCCCTACAAAAAGAAATCCCACAGCAAAAGTCTTATCCCTTCTCCCAGCCACATGATAATTAAACTGACTCATCCATACTTGCTCTGGCTTGGCAGATGTCTGCCTTACTATGTGGGCCAGGGGATAGCACAATCGGTTTAGAGACAGGCTCAAAGGGAAAGAGGCTCAAAGAGGCTACTAGTGATAGGAAAAGGTAGAGGTAATTGAAAGGGAAAAGGAAGCCACTCTCTACTGGGCTTGTAGACAACATGACTGGTGTTGGGTGGTGGGGAGGACGAGGCAGGGATCACCAACTGGCACACAGGCTGCAGTCACACTCGGCCAATCCTTGTCGGGTGGCGCCACACCCACACACCATGCTAACACAGAGGTGCTATCCTACTAAGGAGGCAGGCAGGTAGCGTTTGGCTGAGGACAGATTGGGGTTGGTTGAGGGAGTGCCTCCCTCTGCCCTAATGGACCAGCCATCTCTGAAGACAAAGCAATGAGGGAGGGAAAACTAGTACAGTGGTACCTCGGGTTAAGTACTTAATTCATTCCGGAGGTCTGTTCTTAACCTGAAACTGTTCTTAACCTGAAGCACCACTTTAGCTAATGGGGCCTCCTGCTGCTGCTGCACCGCCGGAGCACGATTTCTGTTCTCATCCTGAAGCAAAGTTCTTAACCCGAGGTACTAATTCTGGGTTAGCGGAGTCTGTAACCTGAAGCGTATTTAACCTGAAGCGTATGTAACCCGAGGTACCACTGTAAATGAAAATGAGGCAGAAGAACCAGAAAAGAAGAGAAGAGGGGAGGGGAGGGGAGGGGAGAGGAGAGGAGAGGAGAGGAGAGGAGAGGAGAGGAGAGGAGAGGAGAGGAGATAAAAATCCCTACCAAATTCTGTTTCATAATTTTGGGGAAATCAGAGCAGTTCCAAGGAGCTAGGTCAACATTTGTTAAAGCCCATATGGGTGATCCAGATTCAGCCAAATTTATCATTTTAGGTGGAAATGAGTTGGCCTCGTCAACAAATTCCACAATGCCTAAATCCCATTCTGGTCGCTGCATGATAAATGTTGGAATCAAGACAATTAGAAAGGAATTTATTATAGATCGTTTGATGGGTCAGTAATGAAAAGCAGCTACGATCTAACAAAAAGCAGCTATGCAAAACAAAACTTATGTGAAGTATGTTTCTCCAACTAGGAATTCTGAGAAATATTTCCCATGCTGACAACATTGCAGTTGTTGCGACACCATTCCCCACCCCCCAACCCCCGTTTTAGAAGCCAGTTTCTGAACTTTTGTCACACACATATAATGCAGCAGAATATGGGAGTGCATAAAAACATTACGGAGGTAAAGCTGGGAAGTCCCCTTGTTCATTTTGCAAGAGAAACGTATATTGAAATGGAAGTTAATGTGTTTCAAGTTTTCAAAATTGAATAAAAAATTATTATGTAGAAAACTGGAGATTTTGCATATTGCCCACAGCTAACCTGGCCAATCCAATGCATTTCCTTGAAGTTCGACAGATGTGGAGTCAGGATCTGATCAGCTCATGATCAGCCCACTCCATTCCAGCCACTCTGAACTGTCCAAAGAGCAGCTGGATGTGAGAAATAAATGGATAAAATAAATCATCAGGTAGGACTGTTGAGATCCTAGAATCTTGGCCAAGTGTCTAGACAATAAATTTCTGCACCTTCCATGCTTCCCCTTGGCAACACTTAGCAAAAGTGCCAACACTTAGCAAAAGTAGATGGCCTTCGGGACCCTGCAATTTTATGATTTGAGGGGGGCCTGTGAACAGTATGAGAGTGGAAACATTGTAAATGGCTTACAGAGCTGTAAACTCAGACGGCGCTTACTTTTACTGGATTTTTAAAGGTCTTAAAAGCCATTTAAAGAGCTCAGCAGGGTTTTTAGAGGGAAGCATTCTTTCAGGGCTCTGCTACCTCAGCATGAGCACCTGAAGAGCTTTTAAATAGGTACCTTCGGTGGACAGAACTTCTCAGAGTGCTTTGGGGTAAGACCTAATACCCTCAGAGTTCCTTTCTACAAGGGTTCCTTTGGTTTCATGCATGCAAACATGCCCTTCAAAGTAGAAGTGTTGAAACAGATTTGGAGAAGAGAGGTGTCTACCCCTCACACAAATAATATTTGATCTCAATAAGATGCTTAAATTAAGGTAGGTAGCCGTGTTGGTCTGACTTAAATTAAATTAGGCATGTTTGCTCTTAAAAAAAGAGAAATGGACCCTTAAGAAACTTGATAAAATAAACTACAGTGGTACCTCAAGTTAAGTACTTAATTCGTTCTGGAGGTCCGTACTTAACCTGAAACTGTTCTTAACCTGAAGCACCACTTTAGCTAATGGGGCCTCCCGCTGCTGCTGCACCACCGGAGCATGATTTCTGTTCTCATCCTGAAGCAAAGTTCTTAACCTGAAGCACTATTTCTGGGTTAACGAAGTCTGTAACCTGAAGCGTATGTAACCTGAGGTACCACTGTATTCTTAAGTTCATTCTAAAGTCCTACAGATGTCTAGCCAATCTGCTCAAAGGCCCTTCTAGTCTAGCAACCTTCTGCCCCAAACCCAGTGCAAAGGTCTACTATTTATGAGGAATGTAGGAAGTCACCTCTTCAGAACACTGTGGCTCAGCACTGTCAACATGGACTCTCCAGGGTTACAGACAAGGTTTCCCTTTCCTAGCCTGACATGGCGATGCCAAGGATTGAACCTGCGATCTTCCTCAGGCTAAGCAGAAGCTCTGCCACTGAGCTATGACACTGCCACTGGTCTGAGGAGGATTGGGGAATAGCCAAGGACAGAACATTGCTTTATGAGAGCAACCGTTCCAGTTCTTCCAAAGATAAACTGTGGCATGCTGGATTTGACTGACTTTGGTATTTAAGGATCAGCGATTACCTAGAGCGTTAAGTCAGCTTTTATCCCGCTCACACTGACCTAATTGCTGAGGCATTCTCAAAGGTCCCCTGCCTGCCATCTCCAATGGTTCCACCTCACCCCTCTCAAACTCTCACGGTAGGGTAAGCCAACTAACAAGACAAGTCCATTTTTGTGTGTCTAATCCAGCAATTTTCATAAAATAAAGTTCTTTGATTTTTTCCCCTCAGAACCATAAAACAAAAGCTTCTGGGGTGTGTGTGTGTGTGTGTGTGTGTGTGTGTGGCATCATGTCACTTTTGCTGCTATCTGTCGGCGACATTTAGCAACTGCCAATTTGAGAGAGAGGAGAAAGCCACGGGTTGCTGGAAGTTGGCAGGGATATGAAAAGATTGCCCAGCCACACAGAACGGTTTTTGCAAAGCCCTCGGGATAAAATATTACTGCGTGATTTGAGAGCAATAGTTTTCCAGACCTCATATTCCTGCAGACAAGGACTTTCTTTTCTAGATTGTTTTTCTCTTGGATTGAAATCAGAAGCAAAGCTTAGCCTGCACTGAAAGGATTTTCTGCAGCGGGTGGTAGTGAAAGCTGTTTCACTTGTGGGCCTCATTTCCTTCTGGAAGAACTTCTAGTGGGATACATGCCAGTGGTTGGAAACAAAAGTGAACATGTTAGCTCTGTAGAATTAATAATAATAATAATAATAATAATAATAATAATAATTTTATTATTTATACCCTGCTCATCTGGCTGGGTTTCCCCAGCCGCTCTGGGTGGCTCTCAACAGAACATTAAAAACACCATAAAACATCAAACATTAAAAAAATTCCCAAAACAGGGTTGCCTTCAGATGTCTTCTAAAAGTCAGATAGTTGTTTATTTACTTGACATCTGATGGGAGGGCGTTTCACAGGGTGGGTGAAACTACTGAAAAGGCCCTCTGCCTGGTTCCCTGTAACTTTGCTTCTTGCAGTGAGGGAACCACCAGAAGGCCCTCAGAGCTGGATCTCAGTGTCCGGGCTGAATGATGGGAATTGAGATGGTCCTTCAGGTATTCAGAGTATTTTCTACACACAGCTTCTCTACTCAGGTAAGCAAGAGGCATGATCAAAGCTCAAGGAGACAGTCTAGCCATTAAAAACACTCATGGAAGACATGAAATAGGGCAAGTGAGAGGAGTGGCTTGAGTAGAAGGGTGAATGGATGACAAAGAGTATAGGCCGAGTCAGGGGCCTGAGCCTGCCCTGGCTCCAGATGCGGGGATTACCTCGTTGACTTCAGCTGGGCCATCACTTACAGCTGCTCCACTACTGGTTTGGTCAGGGGAGGCTGAGGCAGCCCCTGGGTCTAGTAATCCACTGATGTCTCCCGAGCTGCAGAGACTAAGGTCTGAGAGAAGGAGAGACCTTAGTACTCTCAGGAGGAGTGCTCGCCTTTGGGCGAGACAGGGAGGTGAGTCACCGGGGGATCAGGACCAGCCGTCACCCCGACAAAGATAACAGGCTGTCCGACCCCGCCCCACGTTGTGGGAGCAACATTGCTGTATGCTAGATCCTGCCTGAGATCCGGTACCTGTCCTTGCCTGGTTTCCTGCCTCGTGTCCTGCCTTGGCCCTGTCAGACTGTCTCCCAGTGGAACCTTCGGATTCTGGACTGCATTTCATGGGATACCCCCGGGCCCAGTACAACACCCTGCTGGCTGGATGAGCCCCCTGGGTCACTGCCAGGGAGGAGCAGCTGCAAAGCCAGGCATGGCGTCTTCCACATCACATTATCCTAATGTGGCCCTTCAAGCTACTCTAACACGAATCAAATCGCATAGAATGAGCCCAGGACTCAGAGAAGCTTTTAACTCCTACAGAATATCTAGCGTCTCTGTCCAATTTCCTGTGCGGATTTGTGCGGAGAAACTCTATCGCACGGCATTGCCTTGGAGATCACGGCTGAATGACAGCTTTTTTGTTTGCTTAAGGGCTGGCGGATCTTAAATTACGGAGAGAAAGGGCGAGATGGCATTTCTTCCTTAGAGAGAGTCCAATAAATAATAGGAATCCAGCAGGAGAGCCACACTTGAGAGAACATGATGCGCCCCACCCCATATTCAGAGAAGGAAGCTTGGAGGGTCGCGGGAAATAAAAGCAATGCTTACCCATATATATATTGTGCCTTCAGGTGTTCAAAGTGGTTTGTGTGCACTGTCTACCTGCAATCCTTTTGAAGGCTGCATTCCCCTGTAGGCAAATTTTTAGAGGGGGTGGTGGGGTCATATGTCGGGGGGGGGGAGCAGAGCCAAACAAGATTGAACAAGAAATGTGACTCTTATAATATGCTACATCCCAGCTGTGTGGACATCAGAGCTCTCTATATCTATATACTGTGGTACCTTGGTTCACAAACGTAATCTGTTCCGGAAGTCCATTCCAAAACTAAAGCGTTCCAAAACCAAGTTGCGCTTTCCCATAGAAAGTCATGCAAAATGGATTCATCCGTTCCAGACTTTTAAAAACAACCCCTAAGACAGCAACTTAACATGAATTTTGCTATCTAATGAGACCATTGATCCATAAAATGAAAGCAATAAACAATGTACTGCAGTCATACAATCAAACAAACAAACAAACAAACAAACAGTAGCTGAACTGGGTTCCACACAGTCACAAAAGAAAAAGAGCCGCAAAAACAAAAACGCAAAATAAATAGCAAAAACAGACAGACCTCAGGGTAACACTCAAAACGGAAGTGTGGCACTCAAACTGGAAGTGTAACACTCAAACCGGAGCACGTTTAAGTTTCTGAAAAAAGTTCGCAAACCAGAGCACTTACTTCTGGGTTTGCACTATTTGGGTTCCAAATTGTTTGAGTACCAAGGCATTTGAGAACCAAGGTACCACTGTAATCTATATCTGTATCTATCTATGTATATCGAGAAAGAATATGGCCTGAAGAAGCTCCCAGTGGAGAAACAGAGACTCCCCACATTTTTGGGTCTCCATCCTTTTCAAATGGTAAATATGAGTTCTGTTCCTCCATGTTACATATGTAGGACACAAGGTTGAGGATATCTGAAATATCTCCAGGGCTATCACATGGAAGATGGAGCATGCTTGTTTTCTCCTGCTCCGGAGGGTAGGACCCGAACCAATAGCTTCTAGGATTCTAGGATATGGGATGCTTGCCTAAGAACACCTCATGAGTTCAAGGCAGAGGTGAGATTTGAACTAGCAACCTCCTGATACATCATTCAGGCACCACCTGCACTATGCAGTATCATAATTTATTATCGATTCATTGGTTGAACTAATCCGTCACTTTTTAGAAAAAGAAAAGCAACTCAAAGCAACACAGCAAAAAATAAATAAAAAATACACATGCATTAAAACCAGCATAAAAGCAGAGAGAAATAAATCTAATTTTTTAAGCAGTTGCGTCTTCCCCCAAAGAAACCTGGGAACTGTAGTTTGTTAAGGGGTCAGAGAGTTGTGGGGAGACCCCTATCCCCCCTCTCAGAGCTATAATCCCTTGGAGTGGTTTAACAGTCAGTCCCTCTTCCCAGGGAACTCTGGGAATTGTAGCTCTGTGAGATGAATAGGGGTCTTCCAACAACTCTCTGACCCCTTAACAAACTACAGTTCCCAGGGTTCTTTGGGGGAAGCCAGGACTGTTTAAAGTGGTATGATAAAGAATTAAATGTAAAGGGGTCTCTTAAACACTACACCACCAGCTCCTGGTCACTACTAATTTACAAAGACACTCATCTCAGAGCCAATTCCAATGTTGCTTGTTGATGTGAGGGCAACTGGAGTGGATTTTGAGCAGATTTGGCCTTGAGATCAGCACATATACAGCATGTCAGACTTTAAATGTTATATCATTTGTTCTAGTCCTTTAAAGTGGTAAACCGCCTCAGGTACCTTGGCAGAAATGTGGTACATTAATGCAACAGATGGATAAATAAATAAAAGGTTTTGTCATTGCCAATTTGTTTATATACTACATTTCCCACAAGCAAGCCTGTGCTCAAAGCGGTTTTCTGAAAATCAAAAGCTAAATACAGTGTTTAAGCAACTTTCTTATGAAAGTCTCTAGGGCTGTAGGGGAAGATAACTACGGAGTGCCTCTCTCCACACAATTCTTCCTCTGGAAACAGAATTTCCAATGGAACTGAAAGTATGTATGCATGTTTTGGGGCTGGAATTAAATGTTGGAATGTGGGCGGGTGGGTGGACTATATTGCTCGCAGATCTTGAAAATTGCCCTGTTGAATCAGACCAAATATACATATCCAACCCAGTATTGCGTGGACAGGCAGAGTCCCCAGATCCCGAGCGGTCCCCCCGTCATGTGGAATAACGACTCATGACAACGTGCTATGGGATTAAATTGGCCACAACTTAATTAAATTTCAAATGTGGGTAGACCTTGGCTCAGGCATTGGGCGTTCTCCCTCCCCAGTCCCCAGCCGGGGACCTAGGGAGCATCAGGGTTATCCAGTGGGGGGGGGGAGATGGGCCGGCTCTGGAGAACATATGTTCAAGCAGAGATAGCCGCCCCCGTTACACCGCCACCGCAGGGGAGAGCAATGACGACCTTTTGGCGTACGGTCAAAGCCTCCCTTCAGAAACCCCTTTAACGGGGAACCCTGGTATCGCCGCCGCAAAGAGGAAGATGGACTAAAGGATTCCACCCAAGGCCTGATACCGCCAAAGTTGTGACGTTTTGCTACGGGAAAGGCGAAACCTGCCAATACAGGGAAATTCCTTTCCGGCCCTTTAACAGCGACCTTAACGTAGCAGCGCCCGCATACCTGTGAAGAAAAGTTAACCTGCAAAACCTGTGAAGAAAAGTTAACCTGCAGAATAAGACATTAACTGAGGGTGGGAGAAGC